CTGATTTAAATCTTCATGGAACAGAAACAGTACCAGCCTAGGAGTCAGGAGGCAAGGGCTCTAGTTCCGTTGAACAAACTGAGCAAATTGCTGCTTCTCTCTGGGCCTCGCTTCTTTTCTTTTTTTCTTTTTTTGCTAAACAAGAGCTCTTGTGGTTCTAAAACTGTAATTCATTTTCCAGATAAACACAGTAAGTCCGAGGGTAAAAAAATGATGTAACTCCTCCAGGAACCACGCTGTACTCTGTGCAGTTAGCCAGGTGGTAGAAGGTTTTCAAAACATTTCAGAATGTATATACATCACTGGTTACACGAAAGATTATCCAAACTCGAGGCATCAGTATAAAAGCCATGGTAGCTCAGAAAGAGGAAGCTGTTTTTTAAAGGAAGAAGTGCCCCGTCTCGTCCGTGTGGGAAGATGGACGCTGCCCAGGACCAGATGCTCAACAGGCAGACAGGCCGCGTATCCATCTGCTCTGGAAGTTTCCCTATTTCCACATTCTCATCTTGTAGTTTTGAGGTTGAGCATGCCACGCCTCAGCCGTGGAGGCTTTCTGCTCGGGTGGCTTCAGACAAAGTTACCATTAACTCCCCAACCTGCAAGAAAATTATTTGACACAAAGGATTCCAAAATGTCCTCCTCTCCCCCTACAAGCCTGCAAACAAATGGTACAGGAATGAGGTCAGAAAGGAATCCCCCGCCTACCGGGCCCCTGAATTCATTTACCTACCTCAGAGCCCATTCAGGGGGAGGGGTGGGCCCGGGAACAAGAGCCCCTCGGAGGCCAAGCGGAGTTTGGGGGTCGAGCGCCACATTACAAGACCTGACAGGCCTTTGCCAGCCTTCAGCTTCTTTGTGTCTCTCACATAATAGAGAAACACAAACTGAGCAGCACACGATCTGTGGTTACACCCTCGGACAGAGCACACTCTTTGCAAATGCTAATAGTATTGTAGCATCCTGTCACCCGGGAACACAAAAAAGGATGTTGATTTTCACATGAACCAGAACAGGCCCATTGTACACAAGTTTGTGACCAACTTGTAGTATCTGCACATCAAAAGCCCAGCCAATCATAGGGTACACAGCTGGCGAACCGCACCGACGGGGCGCCCGTCCCAGAGAACCAGATCCCAGTACCTCATCCACCGCTGCGGTGACAAAACAGTACTTTTGACACGAATGGGCCCATGGTCTCGCGATCCTGTTTCAGCTATGACCAGAGCAATTAGTATAATTCGCAAGAATGTAAATGTTGCAGATATTTGGACAGAGAAATCTGAATGTATGAAAATGGGAGTGGCTAAGTGCTCCCACTGAGAGCCTCCAACACAGCAGACGCAGCATAGGGCAGGGATGTTCAACCAGGCGCTCATACTTGGGGGGATCTGACACGTGAAAAGAGAAACTCCTGAGAACGTTGGCAGGGAAGAGCTGTCTATTTCCACTCAAACGGTCCTGGGAAAGGAGAAACTCTCAGGGCAAGAAAATGAAAGAATATGATTTTCCTGAAAAACTCAACTTCAGTCGAAATTATAAAGGCTTCTGCTAATAGCTTTCCTTTCAAGTGTTACATTTATTAGAAACAAAAAGGCAGTCAAAATTTGGGAAAATTAAATATTCAGTCAAGGTTTTGAAAACTAGGGTAAAAATAATAATGTATCTTAACAGTTGGGGTAACTCAGAAAGAGTCAGAGAAACTTAATAGGTAAAAAGGGAAAATTAACATGATTAACATGCTGAAAAGTTGCAGAGGACTCATTTTTACTCCTAAGACTTACGGCCCGGGTAGACATGAGATTAGAGCCCCCAGTCTCCGTATGGCCTTGCCCCACAGGACCCTGTAGGGAACCACACCTCTACTGGTTCTTCCACCCTGGTGATGCAACAACAGCCTTTATATATAGCGAGGGAAAACCATCCTGGGCCATTTCCGTAAAGCTAGCTCAAAGTACACTTTCTAGGTGTATCAGTGCCCTAATATACTCAATCTTATAAATAGGCTCATTTTCTTCAAGGTATTTTTGAGAGAGCGTATTTTGGAAAGTGCATAGGTTTATAACCAGATTTGTTTTCAAATTTAGACGTTGCTGTTCATGCCAATGACCTTGGTTACTTCAAACTTCTCTGAGCCTATTTCCTCATCTATAAAATGGAACTGCTACTGCCTGTGATAATGAATGCATGACACAGGCCATAGTGGTTCCTTTGCTCTAGATTTCAGTTCTTTTCTTCAAAATTTTAAAGGGAAGTCAAAATGTTTTCATAGGATCACTCCTTGGCAAGATAGGATACTGACCATTAAAAAGGCTTCAGGGGGGTTTCTAGATAGATTCTCCAAAGGCTCGTGGCCACTGACAGTGCACTTCTTTGCTGTGTTCTCAGTGCCGCTAAGACCTTTATATAAGCCCTCAGTTAGGGTGGTACGACCCCTGCAAGGGCCGCAGACTGCGCGTCTACGCACCTCCTCTCCCAACACACATCGGGCATCTCCTCCTCCTGCTAGTGTCGCTCATGGCAGCGGGGAGGCAGGTGTGTGCTGCGATCTTAAGGCATAGGTAAGGTGACTTCTGGTTTCACTACCTATAAATTGAGTGTAGAAAAAAATTATATATATATTTGGCATACAAAGGGATTGGCTGTGTACCACTTGGAGCATCATTGACTGCAAGTATGAGAACTTTTGATTTAAGCCCTCCAGCAAACACATTTCTTTACAGAGAAATAGTAAGTACTGCATTTTGTTAATGATGCATGACTACTTCTGTGTTAAGATGGATGGAAAAGATTGAAAACAAAAATAGAACACAAACTAAGGGAGCAGAGAAATGAACAGGCTCATTCCTTAAGGGATAAATTAATTTCAGCATTTCCTGGCAGCTGAAGCAAACAAACAATTGACGTCTTGAGCTCTCTGACAGAAGGGAAGCACCGGGAAACTTTGCTGGCGCTGAATTACCCAGTAATCCTTACTTTAATGAACTCAAGTGACTAGAGAGATATGTCATTAGATTTTACCTTTGTGAAAAAGATACTGTGTATTTTCTTCAAATAGGTGCATCACATTGTATTTGTTTGTGAAAGCCAAGGGCATTTTAGATAAATTAAGAAATGGATAAAAGTAAGTAGTCCCAGCAGTACTGCTTTCTGATGATTTGGCCCAATTCTCAGAAAAACTTTAGCATATTAAGAAGATGGAGTTAACTTATTCCCCACATACTTTCTTACAGATGTTAGAGGCCTCACAAACTTTTGGCCAAGTGTTAGATCATGACCATATTATTTGACAAGTGGATAAAATTCTAAGTTAAAACCCCATGTTGTTGCTACGATTTAGTTTCTCCAAGAGTGAGGAGCAGAACGGACAATTCTTCTTTGAACTCTAAGCAGTGTCACTAGTCGTCTTCACACAACTGTACGACATGCCTCTCTGGAGGCTGCTGGCAGTGTCACCGCATGTTGACTGGGTGGGCTTCAGGGGGGCCTCCGGCCTACTTTTTTTGTTTTTTTTTAAATGACTTTTTGCATTCCCTCAAATACTCGGATGGGGACCAGCCTACACCTGGGTTATTTAATTAAAGACAAAACAAAACCAATAATGAAGGGACAACTGATTTAAGAACATTTAAAAGCTGTAGTTACCCCCTCGTCAATGACTTGATCCCAAATGAACCTTAACACTGCTCTTACAGAATGTGAATAAAACTCACAAGAGTTTCAGAGGGTGATCATATACACTCTTTCATTTTACAGTCTCATTTCAAAATACACATTAATCCAATGCCTTATAATGCACGTTTTTCTTACCCTTATTTTATAAAATTTTCTTCTTTGGGCTAAAGATCACTCACATTTAAACTTTCCTGGCACTATCCTGCTTTTTCATCTTTGACAATTTTTGTAGAACCTGTCTTAATTTTTCTACATCTATCAACTTAGTCTGAGATGTGCAGAAATTATGACTTAGTTATCACAAATTGGGTATTTTATTGTTTAAATTTTGTCTAAACAATAATGATTTTAAAACACATTTTGTAATATAATTAAATAATACATCTGATTATTTACAAGCATATGGTAGCTACTTCACTTTGACAAACATACTACTTCATCATTTGAAAATATTAGAAGAAAACATAAATTACCCTATTAAATCTTCAGGAAGTAAACTCTTCAAACTTTCTGGCTCCATGAATATTTTGAACTTGAATTGCACAAAGGATGAAAACAATTTAAAACGCACCTACTTTTGGGGCTCCACATGAGGATTGGTTTCTTAGTGCTGATAACAGTGAAATAACTGCTACAATGACTGAAACATATTCTTTGTTATAAAACTTCCAAAGGAATTCAAAGACTGCCTCGCCATTTATTCACCAGAAATAAATCACACTCCAGACCCTGTGTACCCCTTCTGGAAGCAATCGTGATTTTGAGTCTTTTCCTAGTTTTGACTCTAGCCAACCACATGAATCCTGGAGAAGGCATTCTTATGCTCTGCCGTATTTCACACATCTAATGATCACCAAATCTTTTACGTATCATTTATGAACAAAGTTCTGGGAGGAATTATAAGGAATGGGAGTTCATAATCACGGGGGAGATGGAATTAAGTGATCTTTCAGTTCTAAGACTTAATGATGACTTTTTAGTAAGCCTCATGTATGACTGAACATGTTACCATCATTAATGACAACGATGGTCCTGGCAGCAAATGCAATTAGAAACTTTTTTTTTTAATAAATTCTACCAAAGAAAATAGCAAAATGTATCGAAGAGTATCAAGACATGGAAAAGAGCATTGTTAGGCCATAAATTTCAACTGTGAAACATGAGGCATGTGAAATTCAAGCGTTCAGAGAAGAGCCACATTAAGAGGCTTGTTAGACCACTGATTGGGTTATACCATGGGGTCAAACTATTACCCTAGGTGCACAGGTTTCTTTCTCTCTCCCTCATTAAAACAGAGACCACTTGAAAGATGCTCTCCAACCACAGAATTATAACCTGATTTAAGTATCTTTAATTACTCATCTACACAGATGACCTTAGATCAAGCACAGGCAAAATATAAACTGCAGTTACATCTACAAGGTGTGAAGGTTTTTAAAAATAATACAAAGTTCATTCATAGTGCACAAGTAAAAACAAGAATAAGTTTTAAATATTTAAACACAAAGCCATGATTATTCAAAAGGTAAGCATATTTGCGAACACATTTCCATTCTGCTAAAGTACCTGAAACTATAGCATATATCAGCTTAGAGAACTGAAATTAAAAAAAAATTACTCTGATCCCCTTTATCAAAAACTAAAATACCACATTTCTTTTTGCAGATAAATACATTTAAAATAAATAACAATAAAATTGACTAGTTAAGGAATTTAACTTTTAAACCTACACTCTGTATATTATCATCGTATGTAAAATTCTCAGATTATACGATTAGGAAGTACCACTTTCTGCAATATTCCCTACTCATTTTTACACTATTCATTTCCATCCAGAGGCAACTTGTGGGAAGGAGTCTGCTGTTGTCAAGCCTGGAAAGGTGGGATAATACAAACAAAAGAGAACATAAATAAGCCACTTGGGAAGGCTGGTTGCTCCACTTACAGCTATAGCTCAGCTGAACTATAGTTTAACCGTGAAGCTGTAAGAACTGCTTGTTTCCTACCATGCATTATCGTTCATAAACTGATTTTTAAAATTGATGCCCTGACCCAGTAAATTCTAGATATAATCTATTTACAGTTACTCAGTCTTCCATACAGAGCTCTGTTCACTCTATTCTTTGCAGATTCTGACATGAAAAACAAATGATTCCTGGTCTAGTTAGAATTTAACTTCTGTATATTGAATTTGTTTTCATTTGTTACAGTTGCATACTTCTGTATAGTGATTTGTTTACAACGGAATCATCTGTAATTTCTGAACTACAGACACAAAACACAGGGTTTACTGTTGAGAATCTGAATTTAATTTCTTTTCTTTTAATAACATCTGCATTTAATAAATACTTCACTTTCAGTGGGGCAGGGGTGGAGAGGCTTGGCATGCTTAGTCTGAGACAGCCATAAGGGAAAAAAATATTAATCTATGAAAGAAGTCATATTACTGAGGGGGATGGGGACTATCTGGACTCTAATATGGGATTTCTAATAGTATTTTTTATCATCTATTTATATATTTAAATTACAAATACTGATCTCAAAGGAATGGAGATACCCGACCACCCCTTTCTTAAATTTATACAAAGGGTTGTGATAAGTACTGACTTAACATCAGCCTTTGCCTGGGGGGAATACAGCTGAGGGCACTTGCCCCTGTCCATAGCTCTCAGAAAGAAATACAGTCCTATTCCTTCTTCTTTAGAAATAGATCTGTAGTTGTAAAGTGGTTGTGTCTCATAACTGCAAAATATTAATTAATAATGCATGATGTCGGCTTCAGTGAGGGTGTTTGCCCACTGGCCAGCACTGGTTAGAGGGAGTTAACCAGCGACGTCATCTCCTAACCTTTGTACACAATCCTGGGGCGCTCCACCCCCTTCCTATCCCCCCCACCCAGGTCTAAAGGACACAGGAAATGTTTTCGACCACTCAGCTACCAAACAAAGTATATTGCTACTAGCTGCTTAAAAGTGGATCTACTTTTCTGATCAAAAAAAGTATGTCCTGAACTCTCAGTTTCTGAAATATTTTGTGATATCCTTCAATGATATGACTGATATAACTTGCATATTAAGTGTCAGATATTAAGAGAGATCACAATAAAGAATATATATTGATGGTAAATTAAAAAAAAAAAAGGTGTGGCACGGGAACTGTTACCAAAACATAATTCGAAGAAAACTTGAAATTAAACTGGAAAATAAAAACTGTCACACAATGGGCATTTTTATTAGAATAAAAAAGGCGTAATGAAATGGCAGCAAAGAGCAGAGTTAAATGAAAATGATATTTAAAGTCAAAAATGACTTTGCTTTAAAGTCCTTTAGCCAATAAAAAATATTTATGTAAAAAACATGAAAATGATGTGAGGATATTATTGTAATTGAACTGCAATGAATTAAACTTTGTATTTCCTTTAAATGTTCAGCACAGAGGAGGATGGTCAACATTATTCTAACTGCTGAAATAATTTCTATTTAAAAATCCAGTCTTATGAAAGAAAGCTTTTTCCTGAGGGCTAGTTGAAATGTTCGACAACAGTCTAAACAAAATGAGTCAATTGATTATTCTTAATCTTTCCTATCCCGAGTCACAATCCAATAACTCTGTCAACAGGTGAAAAAACACTGTTAACAGAAAGCCTAGCTCAATTATACAACAGCCAAATGAATGAATTTCAAACGGACAGAGAACAAAAACACCAACTGAATCAAACAGGTAAGCTGCTACTGACTTAGCCTGGGAAGGCAACTTTCTAAGCTGTCAATGAAGAACTGAAATCTCTTTTGCTGAATATACATGGAATTACTGTAGCCCAAATCGACCTATTTGAGGGTTTCTCTGTTAACTTGCTTTGTTTCACGTGATAAATAAATAAACTGAGTTATCACAGTCAAATAGTTTCTGGGCATAGAACATTATAGACAACAACTCAGTGGGTTACCATTATCTTATATACAATTTTTGATAGCCTTTAGAAAATTGCTGTTAAGTTTTATTTCAATACATCTAGCATTCTTTTTCTGGAAAAGAAAGTGACATCAAGTAACATCAGCTAGTGAGTTAGTTAGTAACATCAGCTAGTGTCACCACAAATGAGACAACAAGCAGGAGAGCAAGTTTCTTATCTTCAAGGACTGAGCCTAATGGCCACACCACTTAAATTATCCCAATTTGTCACTTGGGTACAATAAAACAGAATGTTAATGTCATTTCCACTGTTCTTCCATTCAAAAGGCAGCTGATGTTTAAAGCGCCTCTAACACACATAAATTATTTTTTCCCATGACTTTATTTTATGTTTAGAAAGGTGGAAGAGCAGATGAAAAAAAGGCAGGACAAAAGACTTTGGAGTTTTCTTTCTTCAGATGTATGCAGAGGTGATTATGAGTAGGATTCTGTGAAAATAAACAGAATTTTTATTGATAAATTTAGGTCTGGGCAGACAAATGTAAAGTTTCGAAGTAAATGTTACTATTGCATGATCATAAAAACATTGAAGCTTAACTGTCTAAGTTTGCTAGCTTTATTAAATTCAAAATAGCCACCATAACAATATAACATAACTTTATCAAACGTGTATGAACCAAAAAATACTAGAATTCATTTCTTAAACAAAGTTAAAAACATTAAAATTGGTTGGTAGAAAGATTTTACATATAGCTGTGTTGGGTATAAACATCTTCAGCAAGTATCAGAAGTTACTCAAAACTATCAGGTTGAGGAACCCCATGCATCTTAAAACTGTCATCAAGAAACTATTCCTTAAAGATATTTGGTAACTTTTTTTAAGTGGTCAGAAGGAAGCAAGGTGACCATTTGGCCAGAATGATTCTTTTCAATGGATTTGAAAGGTACAGCACAGATCATCTGTCCAGTTCATAGACACATGTAGCAGTTCACAGAGCTGTAAGTCCCGAGGGCTGGGAAGAGTAGACACAGACAAGAAATCAAGGAAGTGGGGACTGTCTTCCTATACACAACCTGGCTCTGAGGACTGTCCCGCCTGCAGCTGGGACAGACACTCTGGCAGGAAAAGGTATGTTCCTGGCAGCAACGGTAA